CACAGGGGTGACCCCTCTGCGCTTTTCTGCTTCCCACCCTCCAACGGGGCAAATAACAAATTTCCCTGCCCTTGGTTGTTACAGCAATAAGTATAAGCAGGGGCCTCTCTGCTCACCATTCCTTGGTATCATCAGGTCTCATCACTGTGAGAGTGAGCAGTTTCTGAACAATATGCTGTTATTTCAGAGTTCAGTTAGTCAGAAGAGGCCTAGCTCAAAAAGTAAAATGACTGAACAGAAAATTAGTTCTGTTTTACCTCAAACCAGGACAGGTTTAAAGCCATGCTGTGGGGTTGGACAGCCTGGGTCTCTCTCCCTGTCCCGGCTGCGGGTTCAGGATCGTTTGGATGGAGCTGCTGCTCCGGGGTCAGAGCCTGCCGTGTGCCCGTGTTCAGCTGCACAGACTCGCAATTCCCCCTGGCTGGGAGCAGAGTAATTCCCCAACTTCAGTGAAGTTACTCTGAATTTATACCAACATCATAAGGAGGCCCTTGGTCTCTTATCTTCCCCCAAGTAATGCTGTGCAGCGTTTTAATGTGGCTCAGGAATTAACAGAAATGTCAATCATGCTTTAGCGGAGCCTAAAAATACTGCCTAGGCAAAGGGATTGTCACAGGAATACTGAAAATGTAGAAGGACACGCAATTCTGATTTTTATAGCTGGCTGCATGGCCGTGCTCCTATATGAGGAGTCTGCCTTGAGAAGTGCCACACCAATTGAAACAGAATAAAATTTATTATCCTGGACACAATAATAATATTCTTTAATATCAGCACTGTGTAAATAAGGATGTAGATTGAAATTTTTTTGTAAGTGATTAGTAAGTTTGAAATTTTAGATGTCGGTGACCAAAGCTGAACCCCTGATAAAGTCCAAACTCTCTCTGATTGAGCAGCCAAAACCCCCAGAAATCTCGACAAATCCTGGCTGTTTGGAACCTGAGGGGGTATCGCAGGAATGTGAAATTTCTGAAAATAACTTTGCATTAGATTGTGTGTCAAAGCTGGGTATTGTCTGCTGGGAGGTCCGTGCTGCCCACCTACACCGCGTTCGAGGGGAACAGAAATGTAATATATTATCTCTCTTATCAAGGGAAACCGGAGCTTTTGTGGGCGCTGCTTCTGCCAGCGAGTCGCCTCCTTCCCTTGCTTTCTGCTGACACATGGCACAGGGGCACCTTGTGCTCTTCTCCCAGGAAATAGTGCACATTTTCTCAGATGTATTGTTTGAAACATATATTAGGGGTCACGGGTGGCCAGGCTGTCTGCAAAACTTCTCTTCGAAAAAGGATTTAATAATATCTGTGGCTCTGGTTGTGCAGACACGGCAGCGGACACTTTCCTAATGATCTTTTACATAATTAGATGTGAATTAGTCTCTTTAAAATCGCTTCAGTAGTTTCACAGATTGCTTAATGTTTGCTCGTCTCCCCTTTTTTGGCTTGTGCACGTGAGTGACAAACCTCTACCTGATGGTTAGAGTTTCACGGGGAACGTCCTGGTGGGTTGTGATATTCCTCGTGCAGGGAATCATGCAGGGAGACTCCTCTCCACCACCAGCTGCTCCCTCATCCTTCTGCGTGGGGCAACGGGCTCAGAAACAGAGATTTCTGCAACTAAACCCCCCTCCTGCGATGCCCTCCCTGCTCCTCCTGGCCTCATCCGTGGGTATTTGTCACAAGGCTGTTTTTCAGGGCTGTTTCAGGAGATCTGTTGGTGGCCTGTGGCTACTAACGTGATTATTTAAACTTTATTGGGCAAACCTTAGGAGCTGGGTGCCCTCGGTGCAGCCGAGATGAAGGGGAGATGGACACCTGTGAGCAGCCAGAGCCCCCACACCTCCGTCTCGTTAGGACTAACGAATCAAGCTTGTGAACCTCTCTACCTAACGTCTTTATTTTGAGTCCCTCCTGCCTCCAATCTGTGTGCATAATAATTAGTTTCCCGAATTTGCAGTGTACATCCCCAGGCCATTTTCTGGATATTTATGCAATTAGTTTAATGAACTTTGCTGAGGAGTTGCTATGTGATTAACACTCATTACCTCCTCCCGTTGCCAATTTCACCAATTACCTGGGGATCGCACCTTTCCAAGATTCAGCTTTTTTCCCCTTATTCTCCACACGGAGCCCAAATCCCTGTCCGGCGGGGAGCTGGCCCGGGGGCCGGTGACCGGGGGCGTGTGGGCCGGGGGGGAGGATGCTGCGGGGGCGACCCCCTCTCGGCCCCGGGACCCGCGGGGCTGCCTCCCACCCCCGCACATGGCTCTTGGCGGGGCGGAACCGGCCGGGTGCGGGTCTGTACCGCAATCTCAGCGCGCCCCAACGGGGGGCTCTCCCGGCTGCGGGACCCGGCCCGGTCTGCGGTGCGTGGGGGGGGGCGCGGGGCTGGAGAGGGAGCGCTCCCACGGGGATGGGGGGAGGCTCGGTCCTCGGCGATGGGTGCGGGAATGGGGGGGCGTGGGGCTGGAAAGGGAGCGGTCCCACGGGGATGGGGGGGCGGCCCGGGCCCCGGCGATGGGGGCGGGGAGGG